ATAGGTGAGGCGCAAGAGATAGTGGTTTATGACATGGAATTGCCTAAATGCATTGCTAAGTTGGAGCCATTGCATAAAAGAATACAAGGTGAAGATGTTACATTGGTAAATAAGTCCAAGTATGGTATGTATAATTGGTTTATTCGAATTCTTGGCTTTTCTAAGACACCTAAGATATTTTTGGAGGTAATGAACTATACTCTAACTTCTTATGTTAGTGACTTTATAATTTTTGTGGATGATGATATTTTGATGCATATCAAGTCATTAACTGTAATATCTAAGTTCAAGTGCAAGAGTAATTTGCTTCCTTTTGAAATTGAGTATGACATAGATGATTATGCATTCCAACTTGGTGGAAAGAGGCATAAAATTTATGAAAAGAGACTTGCTAATGAGTTAAATATTCTTTATTCTCTTATTCAAGTGCCTAATGAGTTTTCATGTGATAAATTGCTAGAATGTAAGTTTTGTTATTTGATGGGAAATCATTTCTCTAGTCATGTTGATTGTGAGCCTGTAAAAGTGATTGCTTCTAGTAAAGAAGGTATGCATGATTATTGTGACATTAGTCATCAAATACTCTTTCATGAACCTATCTATGACTCTTTCTATGACGGTTTGAGCAATTATGTAAAATCTATTGACATTGCGAATATTATTGGGGAAAGTTATAATCATGAGCTTGAATATATTGAAATTTTTATTTTGGAATTTATGGGTTCTTCTAACCTTCTTGTGAATTTATGTGCTTCTTTGAATAATTTATATGTAGAAGAATCCATAAAATTTGTAATTGATATTTGACTATATAATAAAAGTGTCTTATTTGATACATGTGATAAAGATACTTGTTTTAAATGGACGCATGATCAATCTTTTGTAATTTCATTGTCATGCACATTTTTTGACTATCTTAAGAGAGGTTTTTATGGGACAAATCTAAGTAGGCATAAAATTATTGGGATAATGATGTCCATATGCTTTATAAAGGAGTATTTACTCCTATTAGGCTTAATTGGGTTAAGTGGACACATGGTCACTATCTTGTTTTATTTTTACCATTTTTTTAGATTAGTGAATGCCATTTACTAGTGCATGTCTTCGTTTTCTTGCAAGGTCGAAATTCGAGGATGAATTTTCTTCAAGAAGAGGGGAATGATAGCATCCTAGGAAGATCAAATCTATTCAAGGACAAGGATGAAGCTTTGGAATCTCAAAGAGGGCCTTTCACAAGATCTCAAGCTAAAAAGCTGCAAAACAAGGTCATTGGACTTCAGGAGCGATCAAAGAAGTTGTTAGTTGACAGGAAGAGCTTAAGGATAAAGTATATGAGTTATCTAGGTGTTATAATTATTTTATGGCCCAAGTTCATGTCCAAGAAGAGGTGGATTAGATCCCAAGAAACATCCTCTGAAGAAAGTCCAAATCAGACTACTGTTGGACAATTTTGACATCTAAAATGTGTCCAAAATTGCAGCCCATGAAATCCTACATAAAACCACGTTTTAATAGCATAAAAAGGACTTACTTGATGTCCAAGAAGGGTGCTACATGTTGAGTGCAAGTTGGTGTCAAGTTGCTTGCAAATTTCCTTCAAGATTTCTAAGATTCTATTCAAGATTGGTTTGAGACTTATTCTCATATATTTTAGGACTATATTTATTGCTTTCCTAGTTAGTTAAGGTTATGTTTTCTTTTCCTAAGATATTTGGAATTACTTTCCAAGAATGACTTGGTTTTTGCTTCCTAGTATTTTTCTTTTCCTAAGGTAGTTGGACTTGTTGCCCAAAGTAGTTTAGGACTTTATTTCCTTGTTTTTTTAGCCTTAATTTTGTGACTCCCTCCTACCTATATAAGGGGTATCTTCTTTATTTTTAGACTCAGATTATTCAGATTATTATCAATAAAAATTGTGAGATTTTTCTTGCACTCTTGTGTGTGGGCTACTCTTGAATTTATTTTTCAACCTTCAAGACTCAACTTAAGGTGGAAAGATTAAACTCTTTTGAAATCTTAGATCACTTCTAGATATTCAAGAAAGGTGATAAATTTAGGCTTATTGTTGTTCTTGTTATTCTAAAGGATCGGGTTTCACAATCTATCTCTTGTTTTTTTAATTCTCTACCAAAGGCGATTAGTTCTTTGTTAGCTAATTGTTGTTGTTAGGATTCAATTTCAAGAATAGACTTCTGGAATTCAAGAAACCATTTCTTGAATTCAATCTATCTTTAATTTTCCGTCTTTTTTCGTTTCTTTATTTTCTTTTAGCTTCCGCACGTTTCTTGATTTTCTTGTTTTTCTTTAGTAATTCTTGAATCCTCTATCGTGTTGTTATCAATATATATATATATTTGCATTTTCAATTTGCCCTTCACGCTGGGTAAAAGCTTAAAGCAAATTAAAAAGGAAAAGGCAAGTGAATTTACGGGTAATAAGTATACTATTATAGTATATAACAGTATATTGCATACTATCACAGTATACTATAACAATATATTGTATACTATAATAGTATATTGTTGCAGTATAACTATATACTCCTATAGTATATTGTATACTATAGCAATATACTGTTAGGTAAGTGTGTTCTTCTTCGATTATTACAATATATCGTTGCAATATATTTGTAAATTATAATAATATATTGTTGCAGTATAACTATATACTCCTATAGTATATTGTATACTATAGCAATATACTGTTAGGTAAGTGTGTTCTTCTTCGATTATTACAATATATCGTTGCAATATATTTGTAAATTATAATAATATATTGTTGCAGTATAGCTATATACTCCTACAGCATATTGTATACCGTAGCAGTAGACTATTGGGTAGTAGTGTTCTTCTTCAATTTTCAGCTAAAAATTTCGATCTCAATCACCTCAAATCAGCTCCAAATACTATTAAATTTCAGTATGAACTTTCAGAAGGTATTATAAGCAATATTTAACAGGACCCACTTTGAATCAAATAAGAAATCTTCAAAATAAAAATTTTAAATTCAAGGGCTAAGACGAGGAAGAGCTAGGGAAAGAACAATCAAGAAAAAGTGGAGCATAATTAAAACTAGCCAAAGGTCAACTTCTCAGATAATTAGATCTAATTTCCTTTTGAAGAAGGTTATAAGGGAAATGAAAGAACAATTTTGTAAGAACAAATTACATGTAAGTCAAGAAGTAGCAGATAAGGAAATAATTCAAGGATCTGGAGTTACTAAAACTAAGACCAAGCTTTCTTTAATCTTGGGTTTTCACCCAAATTTCTCTGCTCCTATAGAGTCATCAACTACCTATTAGGGGAAACCTGAAGTTGTGCCCTCGTCCAAATTCTCAGTGGTTAAAGAAGAGCTATTTTAATAGAATAAATGAATAATCAGGTAAATAATTTAGGCCGCATGAATAGGAGTAATAAATAATTTGGGTCTGAGCATTAAAGGGTAAATAATTTAGAATTAATCGGCATAAAATGAGGGCTTCTCCAGAAAATAAGCCCAAGCAACTTTTGAACAAGGCTATCAAGATTTTTTATTTTTTCCTTGTATTGTGGACATTGTAGCTTTTTGCATAACTTAACTCAACCTTCGACGGGTATTTAATTGAAGTTGTTAAACTTTCCCCATTTAATTTCAAGAACACCAAGAAGTGCAGGCCTAAATATAATCATTCTAAAATTTCCCTTAAACAAAAGCACTTTTCACTTATAATTGTCTTTCAAGAACTTTCCCCAATACGATAGGTGTGATATTTAAAAATCGATCGTATCGTGCCGAATTGATTATCAGGTTTCTTTTAATAAAACATAAGTTTTTATATAAATTTATAACCGTACGGATAATTAGGGTAGATTTTTTATTTTATGAAAATAAACTGAAAAAAATACCGAACCGTACCAATAAAATTACATGAAAAAATTATATATTAAGTTTAAAAATAATAATACATTAAAATTTTCCTTGGGCCTTGGAATCATGAATCCAACAAGTATTCTAGTGATCCTTATAAAAAAAATCCTAATTCCCCAACCTCTTATACTACTCCTATTGAAACTATATATATTTTTTAATTTTCGGTATATTCACTAGCAAGCACAAGATATTCTAGTGATCCTTATCAAAAAAAAAATATTCTAGTGATTAAGTAGTAAACTACAATGTATTTAATATTTTTCTTTTCGTGTGATTTAAATTTATATTTTCAAATATTTAATTTTCTATAGACTTTATTCTTCAGTCCCAATTTGCTTAGTATTTTTCCACTTGTGTGATTTATATTTTCTTGGTCTTTGCTTAGTTTTTTTTTACGTTGTTGTAAAATAGTTGATGGATTTATACTCTGGGCCTTTCATGTTTTCTTAATTCATCACCATTTAAATAATAAAAATATTTAGTGAGTTTTACTAAGTCCAATAAAAATACATATGTTATTATATTCTGCTTCTACTAGTGACTTTTTAAATGGTATTTAAAAATATAAAAAATTAACCGAATTGTACCGATACCGAAGAGAAACCGACATGATTGGTATGATTTCTAAAAGACTAATTTCGATTATACATAATAGAATAATTGAAAAATTAGTATGGGACAAATATTATAAAATAACCAGCCGAACCAAACCACTGACCACCCTAATATTTAGCATATATTCATAAGATGCTTGTCTCTTTTCCCTGCACTTTCTCTGTATTACCTTTTAAAAAGCCACATTTGATGACTTTAACACTTAACAGTAATAGCGCAGTTTATATTGGCAATGATATTAGCTATTCTACGAAGTTCTACCGTATTAACAAGATAGATATTAAGTTATACACAATGATACGGTAAAGAATCAGTATAATATTACTGATTATAACAAATTACTAAATTATTTGTTTTCACTCTCCAACTAAAATTCATTATAGGTCAAGAAGAGAAATAGAAAGAGTTAAAGATCCTGATATAGCCATTTCACATAACAGTCTCAAAAGAGAGAAACTAGATAAAACACAAAAATCAGTAAAAACCTTGAAACATTTATGAACTAGTAAGACTTCAGTCTTCCAATCTGAAGCTGTATATTAATGACCATACCATTGAGCAATAGTTAGCAGATTACACTTGGATAGTTGATCATTAAATTACAGCTACATAAACAAAACAAGAACAATAGCACAAAACTTAATTACAGACAATTTAACCAACAAAATTAAACTCCCAAATAAGTCAAGTACCTAAATTCTTACTCTTACCATCTTCGATGGCTTTATCTACAACTACATTGAACTTTTTGTACTCATCAAATTCCTTACTATTATTATTTTCCACTGCTGGATCTTCTGGTGCCACTGGCCTCCTACTCCCTAAAATGGTCCAAACAATTACCACAATGAATGCCCCTAATGCTCCACATCCAGTACCAAAAAGCAAAGCACCAAGAATTCTCAAAGCACAATCACTTTTGCTATGTACTTTCAACTGTTTTTTTTCACCTTCAAATGCTTGTGGATCCAATGGCTCAGAATGCATCCAGTTTGGTGCAGTCCTTATCTTAAATCCCAATGAGTAGATATTGCATTTTTGAGTGGAATTTCCGGTTGAAGAACTTAACCCCACATATAATTCTTCCTCTTTCCACATTCTTGACAAGTCAATAGGGCAAGAAACCAATGGATTAAGTGGCCTAATGTCACCTAATTTGCTTAATCTGACTTCTAATCTCTTTGAACTTGCTTCATAATCAATCCAAGATTGTAACTTTTCACCACTATTCAGCCTCAATTTAACAGAGCTAAGATTGCTTACTTTGACAGATACAAAGCTGCTTAAATCAACACCAACATGATTTCCATTCACATCATCATATTTCTTATCCAAGAATGTATCAAATTCCACAGCAAGAAACTTCATTTTTCTAACACCCAATAGCCCAAATGAGCCACCATCAAACATATTAAATGGATATCCAATTGGTACCATTACAAAAGCAAAGCCATCCCCATTTTCTCTTGATAAGGAAAAGACAAAATGCATTGAAAAAGACACCATTTTTCTTGGATTTTTCTCCACTAGCTTAATGGGTTTCTTATTCAAGATTCTTCCAGAACTAAAACCCATTGAACCACTCATTTGTATACCACCATTAACAACCTTAGCATCACCATAAAGTGCAAGTTCTGGCTTAAAGTTTGAATCTTTACCAAAATTCTCAAAATCAAATGACATGTTTTGTTCCTCAGATAGGCTGATTCTGAAGTAAAAACACAAGTAAAAGAACACTGTAAGGTACCTGAATGTTGATAAAGTACCCATTCTTGATCTTGGCTTGATTTGAGCTAAAGAAGCTGTAACTTTTTTTTACCCTTTTTGTGCTGGATTTACCAAGGTTTCTTTTTAGATGAACCCATATAGAGAGAAATATCAAGAAAGCTGATATATAAGTATAATATTGAGGGTATTTATATATCTTATAGTGGAATTTTCTAGGGTTTGAGTTGAGTGCTGAGAAAGAAGAAGGAGAATGCCTGGGGAAATGGGTAAGAGGATGGTGGACTGGTGGTGATATGGGGGGAGTGGTAGGTTGGACTTGGAGGTTGTGAAAATTAAATGCAAGTTTTACTTGTTTTGTGCAACTCTTCTGATTCACTTTCCCTTCAGTGGCTGCTGACTGAGGGAATATAAAATGAGATTCTTTTATCTTTATCTTAATGTCCTCCTACTTTCTCATATTATCATATTTAGTCCTATTGGTATAAATTGTACTCTCTTCATCCCATTTTATGTTACATAATTTGATCGAACACAAAATTTACTAAACAATAAAATATTTTTGTAATTTATGGTCTAAAACAAGTCATATATATTTGTTTGACTATAAATTATCACAATAAGGATAAAATGATAAATGCATTATAACTTTGACAGACTAAAAAAAAAGTGTGTCACATAGATTGAGACAAAGTTGTTCACACTCTTTTTTGTTAGTAAGGATTTTGCCCTTGTGGCCAATGGTATGCTGAAACAAATATATTAGATTATTTATTTTTATTTGTATAAGACTTCATGGATAAAACTATTACATTACATATATATAGAGAGATTAATAGGTAATTAATAGAATAATTAAGGTACAAACAATTAGCACATATACTCAGGGGCGGATTTGCAGGCAAATTGACGGGGCACATGAACCCATGATCTTTCCGTCAAGATAGGTATTTAATGTATTTTTTTTGGAATTGGTCTAGTATTCTCTGCTGGCACCCATGCTCCAAAGAGGCTAAATGGTGCACTTGGTTGAATGATGAGTTATTTACCTAGAGGACTAAGGATCACGTCTCACTTAATACTTTCTTTTTACTCCTTTTTTAGTGGTGCACTTATATTATAAAAATCCTAGATCCGCCTCCGGATATACTATTGTTGTTTACTCAAACTATATTCAAGAATTGTTATTGAAAAAGTAGTCATGCTTATTGTGAAAGTCCAAAAGATGAAAAGTTAAATCAATGTAAAAAGTAAGTCACGTTCTTTAACTTCCTTTTTTTTTTTTTCTTCATATATAGGACTTATGATTTGTGCAGTTTAACTTCAAAAAATTAAGATGTCCCACAAAACACTAATGAACTTAAGTAAAGCATTGCATAATTATTAGCTTTTGAACGACGCATTATGCGTCTATAGTGTCTATATCGAACTTTTTCCCTAACCATTATGGTTTTTGAAATGTCATAGAACACAATGATTGTAGAGAGATGAAGGCCGAGTTAACTATTGCAAAGCAAAACTTACGTTGCACTTTTTCATACAAAAACACAAAAATGTAGGTACTAGAAACTACAGAAGTATAAAGTACAGGGGTAATAGTGATAATTACTGTGAAAGTATACGATTGCTAAAAAGACCCACAGTACTTTACAGCCATAGAATTAGAAACACAGCTGGCACTGAAATACGAAGAATTCACAAGTTTTACACATTAATTGTTATATTTTTCCCTTTTCTTTTCCGGATTCTTTTTTTCATTAGGTTTCAGATATTTATATTGAAATCTGACTAATTCAAAATTATACAGTATAAGACCCATTAAAAAAAAACGCTTCTTACTATAATTTTTTCTATTTGTAAAACTCAACCGAAATCTTTAATTAAGAGTTGGGATCTTATTTACCCCGCAATAATCCTTGTTGGTGATTAAAGGGCAACTCGAAGAAAAAAAGGGCTCCTGCTATGCGTGGGGTCCCGGGAAGGGCCGGACCGCAAGAATATATTGTTGGTGATTCTTTATTTTTTATTACTTAAGAAATTGTGTTCATTAATGAGTTAAAGCTTTTATAATAATAATTGTAAAAGAAAAAAGGTTTTGGGGTTGCTAAAAAGGCAAGAGATTCGTTTCCTTTTGTTAGCCAAAGTATATTATCCGACAGGGGGGGGGGGGGTAGTGTGTGACTGTGTGTGTGTGGTGCACAGTGCCTACTTTAGTAACCTTTTCTTTTCTGATCCAAAAAAATAATACCAGTAACTAATGTGCGCATGCTTTGTCTTCTCCTTGATCTATACACAACGGTCTATTTTGTATATACATACAACTAGATAAACTTTGGATTATATATAATGCAGGTATGAGGTTATCTCTTATATATTGACCGTATAAATAATTTTCACTTCGAATTATCTAAAATATATATATATATATATANGTAACTATTATAACAAGTTAAAATACATCGAAATTGTAAAAAATTTGGCCATGTTTATATACTCTCTCTGTCTCAAATTATTTGTCGTAATTTTTAAAAATAATTATCTTAAATTATTTATCATTTTAGAATTTTAAGACAAAATAATATTTTTTTCATTTAATTCTTAATAGTAATTGATCTTGAAAAAGGAGATAATACATAAATAGAGTATATATTTAATGAAGATAGATTATATCTTAAGACATAAATAAGGGTAAAATAATTTAAAATCTCTTTTAGTTAATATTTTTTTAAAGTGCGTGTATAGGAAAAACATGACATAATTTGAGACGGAGGGAGTATAAGTTAAATTCTATAGGTATATGTAGAGGGTGGTGTTCAGTGACTTCTTTCAATCGATCTAAGTTTTAATGGGATACCGAATAAAATAGTTAAGATACCGAATATTATTTCATACAAAAAAAATGTAGAAGATGGTGGTCAGAGAGACAGCTAAGCAAAATGGACCTCTGCATAGAAAGGGACGACTGACTGAAAACATTTAACGAACCTTCGCTTTGGCTAAGGTGATTTTTGTGGTTTTCTTCTTGTCATTATGGAATTAAAGAAGTTGTTCAGGAATAAAACTGCACAAACAATATAAGAAGTGTTAATGAATAGTTTGTACATTGGATACTACTTTTGATACTACATTGGATGTTCATGTTGTGAATAATTTAAAGATTAAATTTCCTACTTTATGTCCATCATCTTTACTTTTTATGCATATAAAAGGTCATGTAATTGCAATGGAAAAATACACCAAAGTGAAAGAAGAAAACACTTCTCCCTTCTTTCTATCTCTTCTTATTTACATTTTACTGCATTACTTTTATTTTATAACACGTTATCAGCTCGAAACTCTAATTTTATTCTTAACTCCTGCTAAGTTGAGCCATATTTTATTAAGGTATGTATCATTATAATCATCTTATTTATGGCAGTACATATCATATGCTCACTGTTTGAAGATTACTTGTGCGCTTGGGCATCTTAAATAGTTTAAGTACATTGCAGTGATTAAATAACTATTTCCTTCCGTGCTCAACTCTTAGAGGACCTCAAAGTCATCAAACTAGCTATGCACTAATGTCATGGACTCCCTGGATCAAAACATATCTTTAAGGCATTTTGAAGAACTGTGAGAAATGAATTGACAAGCAATAATTTTTTTAAATACTTTATATTTATTGGAACATATAAATAACGTTAGTCACGTTCAATTCTATTAACATATATATATCAATAATATAAAGTGAAATGAAACAAGTATGTAATTTCTACTTTATGGCAAGAATAAAATGAAATAGTAGATTACAACAACAACAACAACGACCCAGTATAATCCCACAAGTGGGGTCTGGGGAGGGTAATATGTACGCAGACCTTACCTCTACCCCGAAGGGTAGAGAGGCTGTTTCCAGGAGACCCTCGGCTAAAAAAAGCAATAGGAGATGATATATTAGTACCGTAAAAATGCGTAATAAAAATAACAACAATATATAAGAGATATGAAATATGAAATACAGAATACGAAATACGAAATACGAAATAGATGGCTGGTATAGTACAACTAGAAGGTAAAGCCCTGCATCAATAGACGAAATAGTAGATTGTTAACATGATATAACTCTATTTTCATTTCTTTTACCTTAATCGTTTGTTTTCATTAATTGTTTATTATTATAATTATTTCTCTAACTTATTCATCTTTTATGATAGTTTTCACTATGTCAAATTTATCAAAACTTGAATTTGTGGCACTTGACATCACCGGAAGGAACTATTTATCATGGGTTCTTGATGCTGAAATTCACCTTGACGCTAAAGGTCTTGGAAATAGTATTATACTAGGAAATGAAGCATCAAATCAGGATAAAGCAAATGCCATGATTTTCTTTCGTCATCATCTACATGGAGGGTTAAAAACTGAATGTTTAACCGTAAAAGATCCACTTGAATTATGGATTAATTTGAAGGA